TTCTTCTTCTTCTTCTTCTTCTTCTTCTTCTTCTTCTTCTTCTTCTTCTTCTTCTTCTTCTTCTTCTCCTCCTCCTCCTCCTCCTCCTCCTCCTCCTCCTCTTTTGCCTCCTCCTCCTCTTCTTCTTCTTCTTCTTCTTCTTCTTCTTCTTCTTCTTCTTCTTCTTCTTCTTCTTCTCTTCTTCTTCTTCTTCTTCCCTCCCACCAGTAGCCATAGCGGGCGATACCATGCAAAGAGGTGGTCGGACCAGAGCGGCAGCAACGGCAAAGGGGACAGATATCGCTACAGCTGTTTGTGACATACCTGGGCCAAGCACGCAGAGAACGAAGTCCACGGTGTGTACTGCGACTGTGCAAACGAAGGGGGTCACACCGGGAACTGACCCCAGTTTGTCACGGTTCCAGCCCAAGGATGAGAAAGAGCACTTGAAGTTGCAGAAGAAGAACGACGTCTGGCTTTGGTGTGATCAGGGACAATCGGTTGGCGCCCCAGGAACTGGGGAGAATTGGATCAGGTGCAGGCTGTGCTCCGTCATTTTCAGGGGTTCGACATCAAAGGCTGTCGATCTTTTCCTGAAAATCATGAAGCCGTGTGCAATGCGGACAGGCGAGATAGTTCGAACTTTGGTTGATGCCGGTGCAAAGGTCTGCCCCAACGACAAGAACACCAAGTACCTGCTGAAGAACTACAAAGGGCAGGGCGGCGAATCCCGAACTAATGATGACCACGCAATTTCCGGAGCGGACAACTTGGATAGCCCTGCCTTGGACGAGCCCCAACCGCCGTCCGTCGCGGGGCGGTTCACTGCTGGTGTTGCTACCTTGCTTGCTGCTGCGCTTGACGAGGTGGATGAGGGGGATGACGCTGGAGAGGGTGCAGCCACAGTCGAGGGGTAAGGATCAGGGCAAGGATCGACTGTTCGAACGGTCGTCAAACACCAGAGCACCATACGCCGGTGGGTGGACAATGCTGCACAGAGGCGGTTGGACATTGCATGGGCGGAGACCATGTTCAAGGTTGGCATTGCGTTCAATTTCCTGAACATGGACACTACTCAAGCATTGCATGACGTGTACTTGGAGGTGGCGAGCGCCAGGCCAAAGGTGAAGCTACCTCCATACAAGCACATGCGGACAGTAATGTTGGACCTCATCTACTTGAAGATTCAGAAGTCAGTGGAGCCACTAACAACGTGTTGGGATTCCTCGGGATGCACATTCGTCACTGATGGGTCAACTGACCGCAATAACCGACCTGTGATGAACTTCTTGGCATGTGGGAAACCAGGGGCGGTGCTTGTGGCGACGGTCGCAATGAGAGGGAGGAGGAAGAATGTTGTGGCGTTGGCGAGGTTGTGGGAGCAGGTGATGAGGGAGATTGGTTTGCGTCGCATCAATGCGATCTGCACGGATAACGCGGAGGTCAACAAAAAGGTGGCACAGATCCTTGAGCGGCGAACGATAGGGATGTGGCGAGGATCCCTTGGGTCCCTTGCGGGGCGCACTGTTGCAGTCTTTTGCTAAAGGATCTGAGCAACCTGCCGTGGATCAAGGCAACGGTGAAGACTGCTAACACGATCGTTAAGTTCATTAGGAATCATCATGCCACCCAGGCATTGATGATGTCAATCTATGACTCGTTGTCCTTGCTACGCCCCACTGAAGTCCGATTTGGATTTGTCTGCATGATGCTGCATCGGCTGGCGGAGAGAGAGGATGTCCTGACGGAGATGGTGGATGGACGAGAGGCAGCGAAGTGGAGGGCATTGCGATGGTCGGGGGAGAAGTTGCGCAGGAAGGCTGACCTGGTGTACCACACTTTGAGGTCGGAATCTTGGTGGTCGAAGGTGAACAAGATTGTGTCTATCATGCAACCGGTCTATGGCCTCCTCAAACGGATGGACGCGGAAGGCACTTCCCCTACGAACCTCATGGAGTACGATGACCTCATCGGTCGTAAGTTGACAAATGTAGTGTTGACGAGGAATGAGCGAGAAGATGTGATGCTGAAGGTCAAAGATCGCATGCAAATGATGAGGCAGCCAGTGCACGCAGCTGCATTCCTTCTGGACCCGAGGCGGAGAGAACCACGTTGGCTCCTTGATCCGGACAGCGCATTCGTCCAGAATGCAATGCGTTTCTTCGTAAGGCAGGGGGGGGGGGGAGTGGGATAGCAAGAAACATTCAGACATGTGGGGGTATCTGTCGGAGTTCTACAAGAAGCCTGGAAGGAATGAGAATGACCGCAAAGATGACAAGATGTGGAGAACGGTTGCGACGGATGACGAATCGCGGTTGAACCCTGCAGACTGGTGGGCAGCACACGGCGGGGATGTTCCAGACCTCCAAGCCATTGCTATTAAGGTCATGGGCATGTGGAGCACAACAACCCCCGCCGAGCGAAACTGGGCATCCATGGACTTTGTCCACTCCAAGAGAAGGAACCGTTTGTCATCTGAGTCCCTCGAGAAGCTGGTGTATATCCATTGGAACATGCAGTTGCTGCGTGTTCCAAACAACAAGGACAGTGGGTACATTGATGTGTGGGGATCTTTCTTCGAGCCTGACCAGGAGCCGGTGCCCGATGATGGATCGGTGTTGTCAGGTCGTGCGGAGGATGCTGCGGAGAAAGAGGAGGAGGAGAGGAGGCAAAGGACATTGGCAAAGGCTCCCAGAGGTAGGATTCCCAAAAACCTATCGGATTCCGACTGGAGCGACAGCAGCGACCTAGCGGATCTCATTTGGAAGGACAAGTGCTGGAATGAATCATCTTCGGAGGATTGCAGCGAAGAGGAGGTCGGGGACTCGGATTTCGAGCTCGATGCAGTACCAGCTATCCGGGCCACCACATATGTGGGTAGGCGATTGGGGCGGCGGGAAAGGGATCTTGAGGTGGAGCCGGCACCGACTGTTGATAGACTAGACACAGATGTGGCGACCTTGCTGCGACCCATGGTCGATGCCGATAAGGAGGAGGCTGCAAAAGCAAAGGCAATGGCGGACAAGGAAGTTCATCTTGTGAACAGACGCATACGCGAGGAGGAGGCCCGCCGTGTTGTCGTCCCCACCCGTAGGGAGAGAGAGAGACAGGCCAGACAGCAAGACCAGCTCAAAGGTCAACATATGGAGGACGTGGAAGGTGGGGGTGGGGAGAAGACCGAGATGCCCGTGGAAGCAGGGAACATGATGCAAGTAGAGGGGGAGGAAGCGGAAGGAGCAGACGATGTGCACATGCAGCACGAGAGGGGGGATTTGGAGGCAGCACAAGAGACGAATGAGCCGCACACAGAGCAGATCGAGGAAGCAGTGGAAGTGCAACCTCCAATTGGGGTGGTGTACAAACGCAGGCCCCGCCCACAAGCGTTGCAGGAGGTGGAAGCGGTGGAGAAGGAAACAGGCCAGCAAGCCGAGCACGCGGAGAAGCAGCAGGAGCAAGAGGCTGCAAAGGAGATCAGCATGTCCCCAATGCCTGCCATGACTGAGGCTGTCCAGCATGACAACCTCTGGAAAAGCAGGGCAGGGAGAAAGAGGAAGGCGCGGGTGGAAACGAAACCATCAGCACCCCGTCGTGGACGAGGGAGGCCCAAAAAAATGAAGACTGTTGCAACATCCCCAAAGCAAAAGGGACGCCGCCCGGGAAAGCTTCGCAAGGGGCAAAACAAGGCTCGCAAGGGTGTTGCCATCTCTTATGATGACCCAGATTCAGTTGATGACATCCCGCAGTCATCGGATGAGGGGTGCACCCCGGATGAGTACTACGAGTCCGATTGAGATCAAAAGAGAGAGAGAGAGAGAGAGAGAGAGAGAGAGAGAAAGAGAGAGAGAGAGAGAGAGAGANAAAGAGAGAGAGAGAGAGAGAGAGAGAGAGAGAGAGAAAGAGAGAGAGAGAGAGAGAGAGAGAGAGAGAGAGAGAGAGAGAGAGAGAGAGAGAGAGAGACTGAATTTTGTGGCCACGATGATCTGCAAGGAAACCTTTGTGCTTATCTTTTTCTTCTTCGTCTTATCTGCAATATCTTGTCCGTCCGTTGATTGCATGTTGTTGCCCACGTTGGCTGATGGCCAGGTTTGCTGTTATCCTTGTTTGCTGATGCCCATGCCTGCTGTAACACTGCCAGTAAGAACCCCACCCACACCAAAAAAACCCTGTTACCCCCCCCCCCGAAAAAAAAAAAAAAAAGTCTCAGTTTGTTGTTTTCTTTGCGGATTCGGACTGTTCTCAGCAAGCGCAGTCCGATCGTGCTTTCAAAAAAAAAAAAAAAAAAAAAAATTGGACCATTTTCGAGCCCAACCGGAATTCCGGTTGGAGGCCTTGGGTTGAACCGGTCCGGTTGCATCCGGACCGGTCCAACCGGCCAGTTGCCGGCCCAACACTGACGAGAACTCAAATTTTCAGATCTTTTCACGCATTCTTACGAGTGCGAAAACTCACTAAATTTGGAGTACTTTTTCAGTTGGCCTACACATGGTTGAGTGGCAAAAATAGAAAATGTGCCAAATCGGTGCGATGATTATTTCGCGGTCTAAATGATTTTTTGAAAATGTTTTGATATTTTTCCTCGAAAGAACACACCCTCATCTATGGACTATCAAAATTTCAATTTTTTCTGTGGATTCCTCCGAGCACAGAAAATTGTCGAAATTGTCTCTTGCGAAACACTTGTTTTGTTGTGCCTGACCTCCCTGTTTCGAGAAGACGGGCCTCAATGCCTCGGCCTGAGGGCCCGTTTACAGCTCACATGCCCTCACTTCTATTTGCGGTCCGCTTCCACCCTCTTTTTTTCAAAAGTCCCGGTTCTAGAAGAGCTAGTTGTATGTAGTCCATAATATCTTGAAGGACTGCTCCCTTAAATTCCCCCCCCCCTCCTAAGAACCCACTTGCATCGTGGTCACTCGATGCCAAAAATGCGACACCTTGACACAGACGCTGAAGCCCACTATATCTCAGCCTCAGGGCTACGAACAAGGGAAAATTTGCAGCCCTAAGGTTGCGGTATAGTGGGCTTCCGCGTCTATATCAAGGTGTCACATTTTCGGCGGCGGGCGACCAGGACGCAAAGTGGGTTCTTAGGAGGCGAAAAAATTTGGGCGACCTGTCCTTGGCAAAATTGCGAACTACCGACAACTAGCTCCGGTAGAATCGAGAATTTTGGAAAAAGGAAGGACCGGTCCTCGGGTGGAAGCGGACCCCAAAAAGAAGTGGGGGGCGTTGGACTGGTCCTCGAGTGAAAGCAGAACCCAAAAAGAAGTGAGGGTATGCGAACTACAAAAGGGCCCTCAAGTCCAGGCGTTGAGGTCCGTCTTCTCAAAACAGGGAGGTCACGCGCAACAAAAAAGGCATTTTGCAAAAGGCCACTTTGGAGATTTTCTGTAGTCGCAGGAACCTGCAAAAAAATCTAGAATTTTTCACAAATTCTATGAATTCAATCGATAGTAAGTATAGTAAGTATAAAAATATTAATTAAGCAGAAGAATCAATCTAATCAAATTAGTAATTAAAGTTTTTCTATTAAGGGATTATAAATAAATATTTAGTTTTTAGTCTTCAATGAGTATACTATCTATGTTATAATAAAAAAAAACTGTCTATATTTATAGATGAGGTCGTGTTCTTTCCATGAAAAATATTATAACATTTTTTAAAAATCATTTAGACCGCAAAATAATTGTCACGCCGATTCGACACATTTTCCATTTTTGCCACTTAGCCATGTGTGGGCCAACTGCAAAAACACTTCATATTCAGTGAGTTTTTCTGTTCAGAAGAATTCGTGAAAAAACATGAAAATTTGAGTACTCGTAGATTTTATTCTGATCTTTCCAGGAAAAATGCTAAATAAATTTGAAAAAACAATAGATTGCGGTCGCAATTTGACCCATATTTCAATTTTGCCATTCAGCCTTTCTTTCTCTCTCTCTCTCTCTCTCTCTAGTATCCCCCCCCCCCTCCCTCTCTCTTTATCTCTATTTCTTTCTCTTTCACTTTTTGTTTTTCTTTCACACTGATAACAATAAATAGAACAAAACTCTTTATCTTTTTTTTTTTCGCTCTCACTCTCTGTCTTTCTTTCTCACTTATATCAACAAATGGAACAAAACTTTTTTTTTTTTTTTTTTTTTTCCTCTCTCTCTCTCTCTCTCTCTCTCTCTTGCGCGCGCTCTTGGTCTCATTGCGTTGACTACCTTAGGACTGCGTTTCCCGCGTGGGTTGTCTACTGCGTGGGCACGGGGAACGCAACCCTAAGGTAGCCAATGCGATTCATACACGAGAGAGAGAGAGAGAGAGAGAGAGAGAGAGAGAGAGAGAGAGAGAGAGAGAGAGAGAGAGAGAGAGAAGAGCGTTTTGTTCCATTTGTTGATATGAGTGAGAGAGAGAAAGAAAGAGTGCTAGAGAGAGAGGGAGAGGGGGGGGGGCTACCAAAAAGAAAGATAGACATATTATATATATAGATATATACACACACACACACACACACACACACACACACACACACANGAGAGAGAGAGAGAGAGAGAGAGAGAGAGAGAGAGAGAGAGAGAGAGAGGATGAGCGACAAAATTGAAATATGGGTCAAATTGCGGCCGCGATCTATTTCACAGTTGGAATAATGTTTTATAATTTATTTAGTAGTTTCCTGGAAAGATCACAACAAAATCTACGAGTACTCCAATTTTCAGGTTTTCATACGCATTCTTCTGAGTGCGAAAACTCACTGAATTTGGAGTACTTTTTCACTTGCCCCACACAGGGGTGAGCGACAAAAATGGAAAATGTGCCGAATCGGCGCGACGATTAATTCGCGTTCTAAATATTTTTTTTTTAAATGTTCTTATATTTTTTCTGGAAAGAATACGACCTCATTTATGGATTCTGAAAATTTTAGATTTTTTTGCAGATTCCTCCCAACAGAGAAAATCGTCAAAGTTGCCTTTTGCAAAACGCCTATTTCGTTGAGTCTGACCTCCCTGTTTTGAGAAGATAGACCTCAATGTTTGGGCCTGAGGGCCGTTTTGCAGTTCACATGCCCCCAGTTTCGCTTCCACCCGATAACCGGTCCTTTCTTTTTCCAAAAGCACCGGTTCTATAAAAGCTAGTTGTAGGTAGTCCGCAATATCTTGAAGGACAGGTCCCCCAAATTCCCCCACCCACCCAAAGAACCTAGTTGCGTTGTGGTCGCCCGCCGCCAAAAATGCAACACCTTGACATAGACGCCGAAGCCCACTATACTAAGGCTGCGGATTTGTCTTGCGCCGCTGTAATTGTCTACCGCGTGGAGCCCTAAGGTAGCCAAAGCAACGAGACTAGGAGCACACACAAGATAGATAGATAGATAGAGATAGATAGATAGATAGATAGATAGATAGATAGATAGATAGATAGAGAGAGAGAGAGAGAGAGAGAGAGAGAGAGAGAGAGAGAGAGAGAGAGAGAGAGAAAGAGAAAGAGAGAGAGAGATGCTGAACGGCAAAATTGAAATATGGGTCAAATTGCGGTCGTGATCTATTTCACAGTTGAAATGATTTTCTTAAATTTATTGAGCGTTTTTTTCTGGAAAGCTCACAACAAAATCTACGAGTACTCTAATTTTCAGGTTTTTTCACGCATTCTTCTGAGCACGGAAACTCACTGAATTTGGAGTACTTTTTTAGTTGGCCCACACATGGCTGAGTGACAAAAATGGAGAATGCGCCGAATCGGCGCAATGATTATTTCTCAGTCTAAATGAATTTTTGAAAATGTTCTAATATTATTCTTGGAAAGAACACAACCTTGTCTATGGATTCTCAAAGTTTCAGATTTTTCTGGGGGTTCGTCCGAGCACAGAAAATCGCCAAAGTTGCCTCTTGCAAAACGCCTGTTTCGTTGTGCCTGACCTCCCTGTTTTGAGAAGACGGGCCTCAACGCCTGGGCCTGAGGGCCCTTTTGCAGTTCACATGGCCTCACTACTTTTTGGGGTCCGCTTCTACCCGAGGACCGGTCCAACGCCCCCCACTTCTTTTGGGGGTCCTCTTCCACCCGAGGACCGGTCCTTCCTTTTTCCAAAAGTCCTGGTTCTACCAGAGCTAGCTGTAGGTAGTCCGCAATTTTGCCAAGGACCGGTCCCCCAATTTTTTTTGCCCCCTAAGAACCCACTTTGCATCCTGGTCACCCGCCGCCAAAAATGCGACACCCGCCAAAAATGCCACACCTTGACACAGACGCCCAAGCCCACTATACCGCAGCCTTAGGGCAGCGAATTTTGCGCCACGCCCCTCCCACGGCCAATTTATTTACCGTGTAGCACCCCTATGACGAAGATTCAAATTTCCCATAAAACAGGGTGCCGGTTGGGCCTGAAATATCTTGGGTATGCCCCTACTTTCCAAGAGGCTCGATAGGGTGACACACTGCTACCCGGAAGGCCTGGTTTTGGAAAGAACAGACCCCGGGATTGGGGTACTTGACTTTTTGGAAACTCCGATGATTGCCTGCCAGGAGAAAGCGATCCTCATGTCTCACAAGTTCAAGAACGCAGAGTTGGTGTGGAGTTCCGAACCTCTGCGCTTTCAGACCTATAAAGATTTTTCGTCTTATGGACCAAATACGTCGAGCTTTGCCACTGTAGCAAATACTATACTACGTATTTTGCAGAATTCGAATGACTTGGGCATCACATGCTACAACGTTCTCACCTTAAGTGAGGAACTGAGGAAGTGCTGCTATCCAGGGAAGGTGGTGGCCGCTGGGCTGCGGTGGATGCATCGCCACGGAAAAACACCGTTCTGGGGCAGATTACTACAGGTAATTAAATGTATATTTTGTGAGGAACGTACGGAGCCTGCGGCAAAAAGAAATTGGAACGTAGTACAGATGGCCACTTGAGCCAGAATGCGATATCCGATCCTCTGTGAGATCACGATATGACGGGAGGGGCCTGCACGCAATTACGGACACCATGTTCGCACAGTAAAACACGTTCTCAGTGTTTTCACATGACAGAGGGACGTACCCAACCGTGAGACGGGAACCCGCCGACGAAGGTGGCCGGTAGCCCGGTTAAGTACATGAATGGTGAATTCTGTACCAGTGTCAGGTTGGCAAGGTAAGGAGGGAAACGCGGCCTGAGTACTTGGTTTACCGCACGTTTACAGAAGATTACGTAGTCTCACGCACTCTGTGATTTTCAGGGTTTTCTCAGCATTTTCAGGCAGAAAGGGTTTTTTGTTGAGGGTTTTTTGAGTTAATGTTTTAGTCTTTCAGGCACGTACGCTTGGAGTACGGCGATTACTATATAACTAGGACAAGTGGAGTAAGTACCTCAATCTGAGTGGGGAATGAGGAGAAGGATTGAGAATACTCAATGGTGTGAAGTTGGGGAAGATGCCGGGGGAATGGTGATTTCGCCATGATATGTAAACTCAAGTCACCTTTTTCCTAAATGTGTCCTGTGTGTGATTTTCTGATGCCCCTACCCGTACCCATTCTAAATTCGTAGTACGCCCCTACTGGATAGCTGTTGAGTACCAGCACAAAAAAAATCCGTATGCCCCTAGCGTTAGGGTGCATCTTTTCAGCCCACCTCTATGGCTACG